TCCCCGGCTGCCGGCACCAGCTTCCCTCTGGCACCCGGGACTTGGGCTTTCCTTGCAACCCTGGATTTGTCCAGAAGGTCTAATTAGCATATTACCCTTTTATTATTATAGATTTTTAGTGTACCTTTTCTATGCTTACATAAATATTTACCATTATGTTACAACTGCCTAGAGTATTCAGTGCAGTAATATGCTCTACAGTAACATGCAATAGGCTATCCCATATAGCCTATGTATAGATTTCTTAACTACACTCAATGATGTTCAGACATCTATGAAATTGCCTAATGATGCAATTCGCAAAATGTGTCCGCATCCTTAAGTCTTCTACCTTTATTTGAGAGAGAAGTCCAGCAAAAAGCTCTCAGAAATCTCATCTGTGCTACCCTTCAAAACAAATATCTATTGAGAATTTTCATAAAGCACCAGAAACTATCTTCATAAAAACAAAACATGGTAGATACTGCAATGGGGTCATAAAAATCCTACTAAAAAACTGAATAGCAATTATCTGCTTATGTAACCTAGCATGTAGAATTTTGAATTTTATAGTTGGAAGCAAGTACCTAGGGGTAGAGGGTCATAATGTGTACAATACCCATAATATAGACAATATAGCCATAAGATATGAATAACTTAATGGGGTCCAGTCACCCATATTCAGACAAATAAGATTTTGCTTCCTTGTTATCACATGCCTTATCCCAGGAAGGACGTAAGGTATAGTGAGGTATTTTATTTGTCATTTTCCAGATGAGTCCTCTGAGAAGCAGAGAGGCAGAGTGATCATACCAAGTCAGTCTCTCAGTGCACAAGGAGTGGAGGGACAACCCAGGTTCCAACTTCCTGGCACCACATCTATTCCAATACTTGTTCACTTCAACTGCAAGGCCCAAAGGACTAATCAAATGTGCCATATTATCCAAGGGTAATATTTAACTTTTTATTTGGAAATAACTTCAAACTTATAGAACAGTTCAAGGAGCACCCATACATCCTTTACCCGGGGTTCCATTTGCTTTGTAATTTGCTATCCATCCATCCATCTATTTATCCATCCACATAATATTTTTTTTTTTCTGAACCATCATGAAGATATTGGGTATATCATGGTCCTTTACTCCTAGATATTTCAGTTTGTATTTCCTGAGAGTAGGGATATTACCTTACATAACACAGTACAGCTATAACAAATTGAATAATGATACAACACTTTTTACCACCCATATTCTAATTTCGTAAATTAACCTAATAATGAATTTTTCCCCTGCTATACAGGATCCAGTCTACGATTAGTTATTGCATTTAGTTGTCACACTCTTTAGTAATTTAATCTAGAATATTTCTACAGCCTTTGCTTTTATGACATTGACATTTTTTAAGAATACAGTTGACCTTTGAATAACTTGGTGGTTAAGGGTGCTGACCTCCCATGCAGTCAAAAACCTGTGCATAACTTTGACTCCCCCAAAACTTAACTACTAATAGCCTATTGATGACCTTACCAATGAAGCCTTACCAGTAACATAATAGATTAACATATATTTTATGTTTATGTGTTACATACTATAGCTTACAATAATGTAAGCCAAAGAAAAGAAAATGTAGTTAAGCAAATCATAAGAAAGAGAAAATACAGTTATAGCATTTATTTTTTAAAAAAATTCACACCCATATTCAAAGTCCACTGTAGAAACCCCTTTATTCTTTCTTCATAGAACGTTCCCCATTTAGATCTGTCTCTTTCCTTGTGATTAGATCCAGGTCATGCACTTCCAGATGTGTTACTACATGCGCGATGTTGGTGTCTTCTCAGGTTATCATACCCAGAGGCACAGAAAGTTCATCTGCCCCTTCCTGATGACACTGATTTTGATCACACAGTCAAGTTGTTGCTTGGTTTTCCCAGTATAAACTACCATTATTCTTCCTAGCAACTAATAAGAAATCTATGAGGAGATACTTTAAGACCACAAAATAGCTTGTTCCTCCCCAAGGATGAATTTTTATAATAGTATGTTCACTACTGCTACAAAAAGTGACCTCTACATAGTAAAATAAATCTTGGTTTCACTTATTACACTTGAGAAAGTTCCATGCCAGTTTTAACATCTGTTTTTATTACTGTAATCCATGCATACTGGGTGTTTATTAAAAAGTATTCATTAACTAATCATTAACTGCTTTCCAACTGTTATTAATACCCTAATTTTTGTTCAATGAAAAGAAATCTCTTTAACTTAGGCTATAGAAGGCTTTAAAAATTAAATGATATAATTGAAAGAACATTCTTGTGTTTTTTTTTTGAAAGAACATTCTTTTTTTTTTTTGAAAGAACATTCTTTTAAAAGGGAAATAAACTTTTAAAAGAACCTGCCTCTTTTTATTCAAATTATACATGAATTGGTTAAAATGATATTGATTACTCTCCAGCCTTTTGAAGCAGTATGATTTTTGAGGTGAACTCTAATTCAAGGCCTTAACTTAGATTAAACATATTTAGCTTGTATAAAATGTCCAAATGCCCTGTGGTTTTAGTTTCTGAGTTTGGTAACAAGCACAAAGAAGGCAATATTTGGAAAGCAGGGCAAATGAAAAAAAAACACAAAACAAAAAAACACATTTTGAAATAGTTTCTAAATTTAAATTTATTTATTTATTTTTTTAGTTTTTAAAGATGTCTCCTTTTTCATTTCACAACCATGGTTCTCAACATCATGTGAAAGGAAATTTTACAAACCAGTCATTCTGCTGAAGAGTTATGCCACTAATTCAACAATTCGTCCATGGAAGTCAGGAAACTGGGGCTGGGCAGTGTGGGGGGGAGGCCACAGGCTTATGCTCTTGAAAAGAACATGAACTCTGTTATAGCCCCTTTCTCTTTTGAGCCCAGCTTCTCATCTATAACTCTGTCTTACTTGCAATACAATAAAATTCCAGCCTGAATGAAAAAAGAGATGGCTTTTTTGATCAATAAAATTCAGCAGCCAAAGCATTAGTGTTAGGGGTTTGTTTTTTAGAAAAAAAAAAAGCATTTGTAGCCACAGGCTCAAAGGAGGAAGAAAGGAAGAGGGATTAACTCTCTGCAAAGAAGGTCAAAAACATAATTTACAAGTGAGGCAAGAGGAGCAGCTGTATCTGTTGGGCTAATCAAGACTAGCAGCTGGAGAATTTACCAGCAATATGAAAACCACGTCCACCAGATGTCAAGCAATGCAACTGGAGGCCAAACGTCTCTGGCTCAGTGCGGTCCTCTCCCTCTCTCTACCACACATATTTCATGTTAAACTGTGAGGTGTCTCCGCCAGGCCACCAGCAGGGATAACAGAACATTTCTATACATGGGACTTAGTAACACGACTGCACTCCACCAGACTGGCTTCTGTACTGAAGTCCACCTCCCATGAGGTTCCTTTGTGAAAAGGCAATTTTAGATGACAGTCAACTTGTAAGGGGTGAGAGAAACATAAATGGCTATAAGCCATTCTTGTGCAAGGATTCTTGTGGCTTACCAGACATTTTATATTTGGGAACCATTTATCATTGGGAGGAAAAGAATGCTCTGAAAACACTTGCTTGGATAATCATTTCTCCACTGATTCTTACACCTGTGCTATTCAATACAGTAGCCACTAGCCACATATGATTATTTAAATTTAAGGGGAGGAAAATTTAAAATTCTGTTCCTCACACACACATTTCAAGAGCTTAATAGCCACATGTGGCTAGTGGCTACCCTATTGGACAACACAATATCATTATAAAACGTTTCCATCATGACAGAAAATTCTATTAGAGAGTTTTGCTCTAAAACTTGTAAATCACCTTTAAATTGGGCAGTTACAATTCCCTTCTCTAAACACTATGAAATAAAGCAATCTTTATGCACTCTCTTGAGATATAAGTCTACTCATGCAATACAAGTCTTGTGTCAGATGAGGGTGATGCCGAGAAGGGGAGCTGAGTGAGAGCCGGATGGCTGTGAGACAACATTGCCTGAGGTGCTCCTGTCCACTGCGCTCACAGAAGCCTGCAATGCCACCAGCTTGCTGGGTACCGCAGAGGCCAGTCTGGATGGGTATTACACGATAAATATGCAATAAATTATTCTTTCTTACATGTATCCTTAGCCTGCCAATGACTTCATCTATATCAGACAGTTTATATCAAAAGTTTCCTTACTTATGTTTCCAGATGTGCTAAATAAATCATGTCCTTTAAAAGAGGCTGCCCAACTTCACAGCTTTGCAAATGAGGTTCTTGAATGCCAAGGAAACATCGTGTACCACAGCTGAGTCTAAAAATTTTATGAACAAGGAGAACCTGAGGCCAAGGCTAAAATAAAATCCACAAATGATGTTTCTTATTCCCAGGCTCAGCCCCCGTGAGTGTGGGGAAGCCAAGCCATTCAGGAGGTGCTGCGTGGACGTCCGTGTGATTGTGGTGACTCACGGAGGGCCGTGTGCCACGGGCACGTGAGACTCGGGGTGCAGACCTCAGCCTCTGCCCATGAGGACGCCAGGGTGTGTGGGGCACACTGCGTACCAGCCAGGTCGCACGTATCAGCACGTCAGCCAGCTCCACCCTCACGCGTGCAGAGTGCGGTCCAGGCGCTTGGCTTTCCTTACCTTGGTTTCCTCTACCAATTCCAACCCTCCCTGCAAAGTCACCAGCCCTGACAGCCCATCAGCTTCACTCCCATTTTCTCTTCTCAATCCCCGTTTCCTCTTCCCCATTCACAATGGACAAAGAACAAGATGGAAAAAACGTTGTTTCTAACCTCCCTGCTCCATCATCAAAAGCATAAAAGAGCTGCTGTTTTTCTTTGGAATCATAAACTGTTCTTAATCACATTCTCATAAAGATCATGGAGCTACTGCCCAGGAGAGGCTGAGAAAATTCATCGTGTGGACTTGGCCTGTCAGAGGCTCCTGGGATGGCTGCAAGGTGTTCAGGCTACGCCCCGTTTCCCCCGCTTACCTTGGCTTTCCCGTCCTGGGCTGACATGTAGCCAACGCACATGCTCTCCGTCGTGTGGCTCCACAGGAACTCCACTGCCATGAGGAGAGTACAAACAGGCACATTCAGATCACAGATGGAAAATAAATCTCTGCTTTTTAATAGAACCGTTAAAGATAGCTTTATACCTAACACACTCAGTTCCCCACTTTCCATTTGCTCCTTCATAAATGTCAAGATGATTTAGTACTCAAAACTGCGTAATGCCATTTACTGTGAAATGAAAAATGTATTTCTTTCTTGTCAAAACTATGATTATTACATGTAAAATAAATGCTCTTCTGTTTGAAACTTGTAACATTAAAGACACACACATGCACACACACACTCCTTTGTACAATACACAATAATTTAGTAAATGTAATATTCCATAACAGTTCCCTTTAATTCTCTCTCTCTCTCTCTCTCTCTCTCTCTCTCTCTCTCTCTCTCTCTCTCTCTCTCTCTCTCTCTCTCTCTCTCTCTCTCTCTCTCTCTCTCTCTCTCTCTCTCTCTCTCTCTCTCTCTCTCTCTCTCTCTCTCTCTCTCTCTCTCTCTCACACACACACACACACACACCTTGGTTTCTAAATACCATTCTGCATGAAAAGGAACCAGGATTTCTTGAAGAAATGTCAATTCCAGAACCGGGGCAGAGAAAATATAAAATGAATCTGGAACATCATGTTGTGCCAGAAAATAAGGAAGAGCTCAAAGAATGATGAGGATTTATCAAATGGACCAGGGGTTTTTCACAATGTCTTTCAGCTCGAAGGGGCTCCCACTGGCCAAATCTGTGCCAATCTAAGTATCAAAATAAATAATAACAGCAATTAACTATCCCACTGAACATAGTAAAACCAATAAGCCCATACTAAGGCAAACAAATAAATTAATAAGTAAACAGGGGAGAAGAGAAAGCTCTTCCTTGCAGCAGAATGCCCACTAATAAATACAGACAAAATAAGAATTAACAAGCCATCATGGTTGCTAAAATTAGTTGGTGAAAATTTGAAGAGGAACAGGCTATTTCCATAGTCTCAAGGTATCTCTCCACAAAATTCTTATCTATATATGTATAAAAGCCTAAGCGACTGAACGACTGAACGACCATTTGATCAGTCGCTATGATGTGCACTGACCACCAAGGGTAGACACTCAATGCAGGAGCTGCCCCCTGGTGGTCAGTGTGCTCCCACAGCGGGAGCGCTGCTCAGCTGACCAGGATGAGCAGGGCTGGGATGAGCGGGAGCAGCTCCTCCCCAGATCCCTGCAGGCCAAGCCAAGGGACCCCACCAGTGCACAAATCCGTGCACCAGGCCTCTAGTTAAATAGAGAAACCTGATGGACTACATGTGAATCAAATGATCCAAGCCAACATCACCAATTAAGGGACAAATCAATGCAACAACGTACCTCCTGACAAGACACTTGAGACTCACCAGGACTTCTGTGGTGTTCCTGCCAAAAATGCAGAACTAGGATTGCATGAGGAAGCACCACACAAAGCTGATCTACAAATGCTACTAAATAGCTGGTTTAAATTTGTCAAAAATGTCAAAGTCAAAAAATACAAAGGAACTTGAGAAACTGTTCCCATTTAAAGGCAATGTGTCATCCTGGATTGGATCCTGGACTAGGGTTGGGGGATGTTAAAAGGGACAGTATTGAGACAATTGATGGAGTTTTAAAAGGGACTATGGATTCAACAATAATGTCATACTGATGTTAAATTTTATGATTTTGATATCTATATGTAATTATTCAGGAGAATGGCCTTGTTCTTAAGAAATACACACAGAAGTATTAGCAGTAAGGACCCCTGACATCTCCATCTTGGTCTCAAATAGTTAAGAAAAAAATGTACCTGTTTAAACATGTGAGTGTGTGGGTCTATGTGCGTAAGGAGAAGATGAAGGGAAGCAGGAGTGAGGAAGGAAAAACATAGGAGGAAAATGAAAACAATGGGTGAGTCTGGGTCAAGAAATCATGGATGTCCCTTGTATGATTCTTGTAACTTTTCAAATATAAGTTTGAAATTATACCTAAATTAAGTTACAAGAAGGAAAATTCACAAACACACAGATACACACAAAACTTTGTCACCTTCAAGTACATACTGTCAAAATTCTAAGTTTTTTTTAAAGACACTTTGTAAAGTTTTGAGGCACTTATCCAAAAAAAATTTCAAAAGTCCCTGATAATAAAACTGCATTGCTCAACACTCAACCCTCTGGGTCCCAGGCCATCCATCTGTTTATGTCCCTGAGCTAATTAAGCCTGAAGACAAGTGTTTGAGTTGAGACACAACTGTGGGATCAGTGATCCTGGACTGACGCTTTGCCAGACATGTGGGGAAGAAAGAAGCTTAGGGACAAAACTGAGTTCCTCAGATACGTGGCTTATTCCCTCATCATCAATTAATTACCAAACCTGCCAACCTGCTAAACAGACGCTCTGCCAAAGAGCGCAGGAACACAGTGTCACGCAATGAGGCAAGTGCTCTTCACCAGATGTTTTTTCTTCCTCACACATCTCCTTTGAACTCTGAAAATCTTCAAGTCCAGAGCAAGATCTTGGATATTCTAATTGCCTAAGAGAGCAAAGGCACTCAAGTCTTACCGAGTTTCCTTAGAGTAATGACAATGCAAATGTATCTATAAATACAAGTTAAAAGAAAGTAATTCAATGTCTAGAAATTCAGTCTTCACTCTTTTCACAGATCCCCCTAAAAAGGGGTGCATTGTACTTAGACATTTTAATACCAACAATTCAAATCAGTAGATAATGATCAGTTCAGTATATAAGTAATTTCCCACAATTTAAATTATAGAATGCTTTTGAAAAGAAACACTATTTTATTCAATTCAGTGCATGTCTTAAATTAATATGACAAATTATGTCTTGGTGGAGGACTTCAGGGAAGCAGGAGAGGGAGGAACTAACATTCCGAATCTATCCTATGCTAGGCACTGTCTTTTGAGAACTCAGCAAAGCCTGGATGGGGCACCTGATGCTCACAGAAAGAACGAAACATGGCTTACGTCATTTTAGTACATAAACAAACTGGAATTCAAACTGGACTTGTGGATTCCAAAATCTGCGATCTCCCATTGTTCTATTACTCTGAAATTTACTCAGCTTGAAAAGGACTTATAATTAGTGTTACGTATTAAGAAGATTAAATTTCATGCAAACACCAAAGGACCACAAAACATCAAACACAAATACAACTCTTAAATATCTCCAAAGAAAAGCTTTTAAAACAATAACAAAATCCAGAGGTCATAAAAGACAAGATCAATGAATTTGACTACTTTAAAAAAATGTTTACTGCATTTTCTTTACCATATGGGGAAAAAAGTCAAAAGACAAACTAGGGAACTATTTGCAATTCATAGCAAAGAAAAAGGACAAAATTTTCTTAATATATAAAGATCTGCTACAAATTAATAAGAGACAAATATCCAAAGATAAAGCAAGGAGGATGTAAACAAAAGGGAACATGAATGACCTTCAAACACAAAAAGATTTCTCCTACTAAAAGAACTGCAAAGTAAAACCACAAGATACCATTGTTCAACTATTAGGTTATCAGATATCAAAAGGTTTAAGTCAACTTTGGGGGGGTGGGGTGAAAAAACAAGCACTCTCATATAATGATGGTGGGAGTATGGCCATTTGGAAATACATTCTTGTAATTTGTGGTAGTTATGCCCTACAAGGTCAGCATGAACAACTATTTAGGAACTATGGACCCATTGCTCCTAAGAAAAATATAGAGTTAGGTTCCTGCAAGTCTCTGGTCACATTTTCAATCAATAAGTAACTTTTATTTAATGGGGGTTTCTGTTTAAAGACATCTAATTTAATATGTTTCTTACACATAATTAACTATATGCAGTATTCTTGTATAATAAAACAGCAGCCAAGACAAGTTTAACATTTTCCTAACCCTGGAAAACCTGCCCACAAATTTCTTTGGTTTTTAGCCTCAACAATGCTGGCCCCTATGCTCTTTTTACGGGCCATCTTCTCATGAACCCACAAATTGAACTCTATTTCCAGCTTTTCCATGGCTTCATGATGCACTGTAGAGGTTACTTTAGCAGTTTCTGGAGGAACATACAGATCAGTGACTTCCTCTTCCTTTTTCTGGATATACGGTATTGTTGGCTCATTAACTTTGAACTCATGGCCAACAGCATTATAACTCTTGCCTGAATGAAGCTTATCCCACACATACATTTTCATTCATTCATTCATTCATTCATTTATTTTAGATATGTTTTTATTGATTTTTTTAGAGAGAGGAAGGGAGAGGGAGAGAAGATAGAAACATCAATCAGCTGCCTCCTGCATGCCCCTGACTTGGACCCTGAGTGGGAACTGAACCGTGAACTCCTGGTTCATGGGTCGACACTTAACCACTGAGCCACGCCAGCAGGGCCATACACATTTCTACACAACCTCCTTGCACTTAGGAACACTAGACAGCAATTCAGCACTATGTTTGGGGGCCATTTTAAACAGCAAAATTGTCAACAAAAAGCACAAAACTGTGAAAATGTGGCCACAGAAAGGACATTTGTTTATAAGCTGAGACAAGAAGGCAGAGTATCAGCTTGTTCACCTAAGCTGGGAATGTGCATGTCAGGTGACTCAGATTTTGCACCACTCTGCTCATACCACAAATGGCTGTGAAAGTGCTGGGAGTGCTAATTTTGAGATTAAAAATAAATTTCTCCAAGTAGGAAAATTAATAAATATAAAATCTAAAAATAATGAAGATTGACTGTAGTTACCAAAATGATATACCCTTTGACCTCACAATTCTACTTCTAGGTATTGGTTCTACAAATATGCATTTATATTTATAAAAGAACACCTTTAAAAAGCTATTTATTGGCCCAGCCAGCGTGGCTCAGTGGTTGAGTATTGACCTATGAACCAGGAGGTCACAATTCAATTCCTGATCGGGGCATATGCCTGGGTTGCGGGCTTGATTCCCAGTGGGGTGTGTGCAGGAGGCAGCCAATCAATGATTCTCTCATCA